AGATGCCATCAAATTTTCTTTCTATGAACCTACCAAAAATTGTTATGGAAAGAAACTTCAATTGACAGTAGAGAAGCACAAATAGTGAAAGGTCTTTTCTACTAAGAATGAAAATCATATATATATATATATATATATTTTAATGATATGATTCTGATTAGTTATCAATGATTGTGAATTTGTAGAATCCATCAATGCCTTCACCTCTTCCTCCTGAACCGGTTGCTTTCAACTATGGTTGTGATGCAAATCATGATATCCCTCTTGCTACAGTTACTAGACCCACTAAGGTTAGTGTATTTACCTTAGTCCATCTCCATGCATGCTACTTCCCTCTTGTTCTATGAAATTGAGTGGTGATTATGGTCTTTTGATTTAGAATGTTCAAATTATCTTAGGAATTGCAGAGGAAAGATAGGGAGATTGGCCATGGAAGTTGAATTTAACCGATAGTAAGAGGTATATCAAATAGATTGAATTGACACATGTATACTTTTACAATTTTCACTCATATGTCTTCTTTGGGACATACAGCATAGGAAGTGTAAGCAAAATAGAGGCTTTAGAAAGAGGTAACTTGCATTTGGTGTTATGTTTTGTTGATTACTCATCATATCCATGTCGTGGCCTGTTTCTGTTGCCTTTGATGGTCTATTAGCCTTTCATTCATGCCATGACAGTCTAGAATTTTTGATTTTTTGTTTTGCAGATTCGCCATCATTTGCCTCAATTGTTCATAATGATATACTGATTTATCTAGAAAAGTCGATGTACATTGCCTTTTCATCATTCTTAGGTATGTAAGCTTTTTCATTTTCATTATATTATATTTATTGACTGAATGCATTCGATTATATACACGATGTTATACATGACGTTATGCTTATCAGTGTCTGTATTGATATATGTCATGAATGGTAAATGTATATTTCTTCCTTATGCAGGATTGGTTCTGTGCTTTTTCTGGAATGCCACAGCTGCTACTGCTGCATACGTCAAAGGGGAAGGATGGAAGCCAAGCGGTAATGAGACTGCTTCAGTGAATACCTGTACAATCCAAGAAGCATCATACTGGGGAATTGGATCTAGTCTTGCCATCATGGAGATAGTTTGCAACATCTTACAAGAACTGAAGATCAACAACCATCACAATTTTGAACATTATTCAATTGTCAGAAGATTAGGAAAGATGCTCATATCTATTTATGGTGAATGGAAGGGCAAACTCTTGGCAGCGAATAGAGATCTTATCTTGAAAATTTTGTTGATTGTGTTCACTGGTGCATACTTGCCGGGACTAAATGATACATGGAATGATATTTTGTACGCATATTTGTTGAACGGTTGTGAAAATCTTGGTGATCTGAACCTCCTTGGAAATTAAGTAGGTAAAATCAAGGTATTGATAAAACAAAGAATGAGTCTTCAGTTCCAAATCAATTTGCTGCTAAGCATTTTCCAAATCAACTAACGATCTTCTGATGATTGAAAAAATATGAGGCTTGCAACCATCCAAATCTGCCGCCCCTTATAATTTAAACACAATGAAAATATCAAAGTTTTCTTGCAAATACATGACCTTACTAGTTAAAATGCATTCACTCTTTACTAGATTTATTCATTTTTGGGTGCTTGAAGTTCAAGTACATATATAACATATCTCTGAGTCATAACATATTATTTGAATCGTGCATGTTTTTCTTAAATTTTTTATTTAATTTAAAAACTTTAATTATTATTTATATAATATATTAAATTTTTATTTAAAAATTAAAAAGTAAAACTAAAACCATTAAAAATAACTAAATGAGTAGTTATTTACTTTAAAAAAG